CTTTAATAATGTGATCAATAAAATAGAATTTTTAAAAAAAAGATACCTGCCAGGCTGAACATTCCCATCAGGAAGCCTGCAGCACGCTCGCCTGTCCCAAAGAAGAGGTGGCATTGCTGGGCATTTGCAGGACCAAGTAAACAGAGTAGATGAGGTCCTGCAGTCAAATCCTTCAAGTTTTCTTCAGGAAATCCACTGTCATTTTTAAAAAGATTTTATTTATTTATTTTTTAGAGACATGGGAAGTGTGGGAGAAAGAGAGGGAGAGAAACGTCAATGGATTGCACATGTGTCCAGACCAGGGACGGAACCTGACCCCAGGTCTGTGCCCTGACTGGCAATCGAACTGGCAAACTTTGCAGTATGATGCCTAACCAACCGAGCCACACTGGTCAGGTCTCCATTGTCAAATTTTTTATATCTTTCCTCCTTAAAACGACCAAAATGTCATAGAAATGGCCATGTGTCCACTCACTAATATCACCTTCCTAATAGCTTCTCTAACCCAGTTGTACCATTAAGAATCCATTGTTAGTCCCTGGCCAGTTAGCTTATTTGGTTAGAGCATTGTCCTAATATGACAAGGTTGTAGATTTAATGCTCAGTCAGGGCACTTCCAAGAATCAACCAATGAATGCATAAATAAGCAAACAACAAATTGATGTTTCCCTCTCTCTTTCTCTCAAATCAACCAATAAATTAATTAATTTAAAAATAAAAATAAGAAAGAATCCATTGTCTGACCATGGTTCCTGGCTATTGCCTGAGAAGTCAGGGTCACTGTGTCTATGGACCAGGAATAACTGATGCTGTTGGGCTTTCTCCTTTGCTAATGGAGATTATCCTGACATTACAGTAAGGATACATTTCTCTCAGCTCTCTTCTGTGTGGCTGACTATCTAGACAGTGCAGGTAATGATAGCAAGCTCATAATTTATGAGCATCTTAAAGGGCCAATTCTCTAAGGGGTCACTGGAACACAGTTTTAGCCACAGTGAGGCTGGAGCCTGCTGGCCACAGAGTAGCAATTAGGGAGCAGACACACCTTCATGCAGATGGTGCTCATCAGCCTTCAAGAACAAGAAGGAGGTGTACCTTGAGCTATCAGTGCTGAAGGCAATTTGGTTCCATGAGAACTGTGCTAATTTCATGAGCAGTTCTGAGTACTGTAACAGGCCTACCCCACTTCATGAAGTAATGCTCCGGCCCGCGGAGCAATCAACTGGGGCTCGACCACCTACCTAGAACAAATGAGTTGGGGGGACAAGAGGCGCGAAGAATGGCAGCAAGACAAAAGATTCTGATCAAGCTGCAAACTTTATTTTTCCGAACTGGGTATATATATGGGGGGAGGGAGAGATTAGGTTGCTTGCTATTGGCTAGCTTGAGACAAAGAAGGGCCCGCTTATTGATTACTTGGGTGCAACTGGTACTCGTGGACACCTCATGTGCCTGTAGCCGATTGGCTTGTGGAGCGCACAGGTTCCTGTAATCAACGCAATGTTTTTAGCTAGAAGCCAGGTGTAAGGTTCCCAACAAAGCAAAATTAAATTTTGTTGGTCCCACTGCTTTCCTGGTATCTTATCTATTTTCTATTTGTCTCAACATACCTGCATTCAGGGTTTACTGTGTACCTGGCTCTGTGGACAGAAATGGAATAAAAGTGTCAGTATTCAATGAGTTCACATTTCAGTGGGGAGAGAAAAACACTAAAAACAAAACAGTGAGGTGAGGGCCATAATGGGAGGGCACATGGAGGCTGGAGGAGAGAAACGGTAATTTTACCTTCCACAGTGTTAATATTAGAAACATTGACATGCCCTTAGGGAACCCGAGGAAGGGATTTGCAGGAGATATTCACTAGCAGAAAGGAGGCAGGTTGCATCCCAAGAGGAAGGTAGTGAGTGGGTCAGAGAGCACAGCAGAGTGGGACAGGCAGCAGCCCACTGCTCCAGAGTTGAGCCTTGGTCTGTGCATGAGGGCAGTCACTGAAGCAGGGGGAGGGAGCAGCGAGAGCCATCTGGGGACTATGAACACAGTTTGCTCAAGAGATAATAAGGGGGAAAACTGCAGTAAGAGTAGAGAAGACAAGGAAGGGGAAATCTGAGACATACTTAGGCAAAAATCATGAGGATTTGGGGAATGAAGGAACAAAGAATAACTCCCAGGGATCAGGTGTCTGGGGGAAGAAGAGAGGAAAGAGATTTAAAAACTTGCACCAGGTTACCCTGACCAGGTGGCTCAGTTGGTTGGAGCATTGACCTGTACACCAAAAGGTTGCGGGTTCTATCCCCAGTCAGGGCACTTATGGGAGGCAACTGATCAATGTTTCTCTTTCACATCGATGTCTCTCTCCCGTCCTCCTTGTCCCCTCTCTAAAATATCAATGGCTATATCCTTGGGTGAGGATTAAAAAAAAAAAAACAACTAGCACCAAGTAAACCAAGGGAATAAAAAAAAAGGCCCCAAGGAGAGAGTGGCTCTCAGTGTCACACAGACAGAGGGGCGTGTCTGAGGAGGCCAGGCCCCAGAGCACCGAGGAGGAACTGGAAAGCCGTGAGGTGGTCAGCGGATACAAACTGTCGTATTAAGGTGTCTGGCCAAGAAGGAAGGAAATTAGAGGGAGGTATATAATCAAGAAAAGATTCTTTTTCTTGTAAACACAAGAGACCCCTGGGTATATGTGCACACATGCATGTGTGTTGCCCATCTCTGAAAGAGCCCATCTCTGAAAAAGTCATCTGAACACACGCAGCAGCAGAAGCGGCACAGGGGACAGTCCCGGAAAAATGACAGTTACTCTGACCACTCACCCTGCCGGCAGGAGCATCCCAACTCTGAACAACAAGGGGCTGCCCCACAGAGAAATTGGTGTGTAACAGGCAAGTAAAGAATACTGACATCTGCTAAGAAAGGAGCTATAACCTTAATATGACTGTGTGCCTTGGTTATTAGAAATGTATTCTCTTGTTACTCCTATCTTCTCAATACCAAAGGGTTAAAGAAGCAGACTTAATTACAGAAAGATCTGAGGTAACTTTTCCTTAAAGAAAATCCAAACACTTCGGTAGAAGACCTGATTAGTAGCGGAATGAGTGCTAACTGCTCAAATTTAAGTTTTTAAGCATTTGTTGAAATCTTACTCTGCCAACATTATTTGAAGTCAATATTATGATTTTTCATTACTATCATTAATAAAGACAAGAGTCACATAAAAACTGGTAAAATTACATGACCAGGGCAGTCACCAGTGTGTCAGAAAACAATGTCATTTGGCTATAGTGTTTTTTTTTCTGGTGCTGAGCTGTAGCAGATTTGACAGGAGGCAGGAAGGATGGAACGGAGGATGTGGCTGCAATTAAACATGCACATGACCTGCTCCTACCATGCTCTCAAATCAGCGAGGTTTCTGTGAACCTGGCTGGGAGCACAGGGAAGGCCAGAAGTGTGGCAGAGACACTGGTCCGCCTCCTGCCCTCAGCCACCTCTCTTACAGTAGGTAGCCCGAATTACAGAGCTGGGTGGGCCTACAGCCCACCAAGGCCTTCTCCAAACACCGATTAGTCAGGGAGAGAAGGGGCCAGTCTCAGAAACTGAGGGACGCCGTCCTGCCTCCCCCTGCCTCTCTGTGCAAGAGATGAATGTGTGGCTGCTGCAGATGATATGATCAGCATTATGCAACACAGCTTTCTCATCGTAAACTGCTTTTATCTAATACACAGGGTTTTACTCAAAGGACACGGTAATATCTTGAAAATATTCCAGATGATACTAGCCACTACTACTGAAGTGACTTAGTTAGAAAGCTTACTTCTTAATAATGTTGTTTTCCTTATTATGGGTAGAAGCTCACTTTGTGGGGGCAGGGAGTTATTCTTTAGATAAAAATCCTAGAATCACAGGGTCACATGAAATACAAACATAGAACCATTTACTAAAAATGATCGTTCTGAATGGTCCAGCTCTTTAGAAAAGTATGTTTAAGGTACATAATTGGCTTTCTGCTGTTGCCTTTTCATTTTAATTCATGTCATACATTAACTGCCTCTAAGACCCAAACTGGGGCATTACAAATTGACAAATAGGTCATGAAACTTCTTCCCAAGCAGAAATGGTCAGCACACGCCAATGACCCTTCTCCCACCCCCTACTTCCCACCCCCACTCCCACCCTGTCTGGTTTTGTTCCCTTGCAGACTTGAGTGTGGGAAAATAGAAATGAGCATGGACTGAATGGAGAAAATATTTTCAGGATTGCAGCACTATTTAAGACAAATCATTGTTTTAATCTTGGGTTAATCCCACAAATGCCCTGTTCTTAGGGGGAAAAAAAACCCAAAAAACAGACAAGCAAACAAAAAAAAATGATATCTCATAGCAATCTAGCTCAGTCCAAGCAGAGCCTGCAGGTTGCTGCATTTGCACTTTCTTGGTTGGAACTGGATCTTCAAATGACTTGGAGATAACTTCCTGACAGGAACCCCATCAGGTTGCTTCCATCCATTTATTCATTGTCTCAGCAAACACTTTCTAAGCACCTACTGAGTAAAGCCACAGCGCTTGAGGAGAGAGTGAGAACTATTAAAGATCCTGAGATTTCTGTGGCCAGAGAGGCGCTGCATCTGTACCTGCATAAATTGCAGCGCCAAGGGAGCGATGTTGTCCAGCCTCCTGGGTTCCTACAGATATTGCTCCCTGCCCCAAAATGCACGCATGAAGAACTTTCCCCAATCCACGCTGGCAGTGATGCGCCAAGTGCGCGCTCAGCAACTGCAGAAAACAGGCTTCAGAGACACATGAGGCACGTGGGGGAGGTGCGGTGGCGTCGGAGGCAGCAACTCACCCTAACTTTTGAGTTCAAGAGCAAATTTGGGGACGAAGTTACAGAGACACAAAAGAGGAACCCGGGACTGAGGAGGGACAGGGCAGCGGAATGCAGGGTCAGGGTGAAGACCAGATGCTAGGGGACGGCCTGAGCCCAGAAGCAGGCGTGGAGCTTACCTGCAGAGTTACGGAGCTTGCGGTTTCTGAGCTCCGAGAGGGTGACCAGCCCTGAGAGGTTGCTCAGGACGTCCACTGAGGTGGTGAGAAGGTGGCGAGGAAGAGCACTGCAGACAGAACGGAGGCCGAGGATACCCCTGATAGGTGCATGCAGCTCACCCCTGCCAGCCTGGCCTCAAAGCCCGCCCGCCTCGCCGCAGTCCGCAAAAGATCCCTTCTCAGGCATCTCAGACCTTCTTTCGCTGCCCTTCAGCCACCGCCCCTTCTTTGACGCAAGGCACGCTGTGCGCTGAGATGCACTTCTCCTGTCCTCTTCTCTGTCCAAGCGGCTTGCGCTAGCGAGGATGCAAATGGGAAAAGAGCTAAAGGAGGTAATTAAGCAAGTCTGAGAAGGGAGCGGAGAAAAATATGGGAACAGGAGGAGAACTTGAGGTGCAGGTGTTGTCAATAGGAGTGGATCCCTCGGCAGCTCGCTTAAGAGCCGGTGCAGCGGGGAGCGGCTTGCTCTGCTACACAAAGACGAGCATGTGTCTTGTTCTGCTCAGACTTCAGTTCTGGAGCGCACCACTGATACAGGGTGCAGCCAGGGGGGACCCCCAGAATAAGATTTGGAAGGGTGTCCAGAATTCAAAGTGATAGGAATATTGGAGAGACATACAGGATGTCCTCACCGCCCCCCCCCCCCCACCAAGGGGGAAGGGATGAATAGAGCCAGGGCCATTGAGAGCTATTTTGCATAGCAACAGTTTTGCAGCTAACCTCTGGAATGATTATTTAACATACCTATAGCCTTTAACTGGTTTCATAGATATGTTAAATAGCAGTGGCCAAGTTTGGAGCCAGGGAGAAGGGAGTAGCTGGGACTCAGGATGTAACGAGGGGCTGCACTCCTGAGTGAAAAGGCCTGTGAGAGAGCTTGGAAAAGATGGGCTCCAGGACATGAGGGGATAACTGCCCAGGTGAAAGGGAAAACCACTCAGCTTTGCCAGAATGGAGTTCCCTGCAGCCAGGTGAAGAAGAAAGCCACATGCTTTTGGTGGAGTGTGAACCCCTGCAGCTTTGGTAGAAGAGGCCCACGCGGCTTTGGGGTGCCCCCTTTGGCCGCGTGGCCTGAAAAGCAAGAGACACTTTGACTGGAACTGGGCACAAAGGACTCTTGCCAGTGGACCATGAGAGGGTACCACAGTACTTTGGATTAACTAGAGATCCTGCACAGTGACACAGCTGACGGTGCCAGCGGCCTGCAACACAGGCGTGTGCTCTTTTCCTGATTTACGGTACCCGGAGTTGGGACAGTGGGAGAAGGGAGAGCTGTGTGGGTGTAGGAGTATACCCTAAAGGACTTTGATATTTTAGTGGAGGCATTAGGGCTGAATAGCATTAAATAAACATTTTGTTTCCTTTTCACAAATCTCTGGCTTTGAGAGATGTCTTTCCAATTGGCGGCGGACAGAAGAGCCCAGTAGATATTAGTATTCTGTCCTTGGGAGGGGCCCCTGTTGTGTAGCAGTTTTTGGCATCCCTCGGTGGGCCAAATATTGTACTGCCCCTCCCTCGGACCTCTTGTTCGGTAACAGGGACAGATCCCAGAGCAAAGCAGGGGAGAAAGTTACACTGTCGGCAGCTACAGGAGAAAGGTTAGCCTGTGCTGTTTATGGAGCACTTGCTGTTTACCACCAGGAACATAGGCGATGTCTCTTTATAAAGCCGAGACAATACTTTGATAAATTTATGAACATCTATTTAAACTTAATAATACTTAAATAGATTCAAGGTCAATACTTGGGGTTATTATAGGTTTTAGAGGGGTCAGAACAAAAAAGAAAAGATATATAGGAAAGAAGAAACTTAAATGCCCTTTATTTAAAATGTTTCAGCATTTACTCTGATAATAACAATAGCTACCTCTGTAGAGGGCTAAGGTTATGCCAAGCACTGTGTTAAGCATGTCTTGTATCACTAGATTACTAAAATATAAAAGGCCGATAAACACAAATTTGGCAAGGAGGTGAAGCACCTGGAACTCTCACACATGGCTTTCATCAGAATGCAAAATGGTACAGCCACTGTTATGAACTGTTGGGTAGTTTTTTATAGGCTTAAACCATCCTGTGATCAACAGTGACATGCATATCAAATAAACAAAACACATGCCCACAAAAATATCTGTGCAAGAATATCCAGAGCAGTCTTATTTGCAGTAGCCTAACCCTGGAAGCAGCCCAAGTGTCCATCAACAGATGTGTGGCACACTCCTACAATGGAGTGCTACTCAGCAATAAGAACTACCAATACTCACAACAACATGGATTCATCTCCAAATATTCTATTGAACAAAAGAAGCAATGTACAAAAGAGTGCATACTATATAACTTCATTTATATGAAGTCCAAAACTGGAAACATTAATTTAAAGTGATAGAAATCAGACAATATTTGCATTTGGGGGTGAAGACTGACTGGAACAGAGTACAAATTAAATTTCTGGACTGTTATTTGTATGTGTGTTTTAATATAAATTATACTTTCACCCCCAACCCCAAACACAAAAACAAAAAGGAAGAATGAGCCCCGGCCAGGTAATTGGAGTGTCATCCCCATATGCCAAGGTTGCTGGTTCGCTCCCCCATCAGGGCACATACAAGAAGCAACCAGTGAGTGCATCAATAAGTGGAACAACAAATAGATGTTTCTCTTTCTCCCTAAAATTGATCAATAAAAAAGTTTTCTGAAAATTTTTTTAAAAAGGAAGAGTGCAGTGGTAAAAGAGGGACTCTGATGAGGTGATGATGCAGAAGATGATAGTTAAAGGAACAAACTCCCTGAGAGGTGAGCTCATCCAGGAAGGGGTATTGTTGTGGGAGTAGAGAGGCTTCCTACTCCACAGTGGAAAGGAAGCAGACGTCAGGTGCCAGTTCAGAAGTGCTTCTTGACTGGTGTGAGAAGATGAGGGGGCTCCTTTCTGGTTGCTATATTCTTGGGAAGTTTGAGTCTCCCTCATTAGCCAGTATTCAGGGGGTGAGAATGTGGGATGTGTGCAAATGGGAGAAGGTATGGAATATCATTTAAGGAAATGAGAGCATTATGTAGGAAAGCATGACACATATGTCAAGAGAGCAAGTGTACCTGTACTTTAAGACTGAGGCAACAGTGGAATCTAAACTTTTGTCATCTGTGCACCATACCGGAAGAAGATTGTCTTGGGCCATACATTAAACACTTTGTGACATGTAATCATAAAAAGCCTCATAATACTTTAAGTAAATGTATGATTTCTTGGTTGGGCTGCATCCACAGCCATCTTGGACTGCATGAGGCCATAGGCCCCAGGTTGGACACCCCTGTGCCAGCCAGCTACGTAGGGGGGTGTTAATGACCAACTTGGAGCTGCTGTGGACAGGCACAGAAAAGGCAGAGTGAACTTCAGTGAGGATTGGGGTTTGCCAGCCAGGAGTAAATAATATAAGGAAGTTCAAGGACATGATGGGAAGATTGATGTACATTAAATGAGGGGTGATGAGAAAATATAAGGGGGCTGGCTGATAGACCAGGAAAAAGATGTTGGATCAAGGAATTACAGGCATTACAGGGATTGGATTCAGAGAATTATGGTGAGTGAATCTGAAAAAACAGACTGAGGTATTTTAGAGACTGACTTGTTTGAAACTGAGGTTTCTGAGGGGCGCAGATTCTATTGATGCAAGGGCTCCAATGGTGATTGTGGGAATGGGGTGCTTTCCCAGATGAGGGAAAGCTTTTTAGAAATGAGAATCTCAAACCTGAGAAGTCAGGGGGTGGATATTATGGGGATGAGATTTAAAAAACAACAACAACAAAACAAAACCTGTGAGTCAAGCGGCAAATCCCCAGTGACTAAGATGAAATGACCAGCTAGTTGGTAGGAGAGTTACAGCTGGAAGAAGGGACAGTCAAGCTTTCCTTATCACACACACATATATATCAAACATGTAATGGCACTTCTTTGGCTTACAAGAGCCCTCATATCAATAAATGAGTTGAATACAGTATAAATGGCTATAGTTCAGACACACTAACAACACATATTTGATTAATTGAGCATGAAACAGGAGTTTGTCCTATGTTACCCTAGGATGCGATGGTACACACCATGCCATATCCACAATAAGTATATCTCAAGGCGTGTGGGCACTAAGAGTTGGGATACTCTCTACCTAATAAGTCAATGTTGTGTCTTGGCACAGCTGGCCAGGCTGTGCCTTAAAAAGGTAGGGAAATGATGCAGCCACTTTGGAAAACAATTTGGCAGTTTCTTACAAAACTGAACAAATACACTCTTACTGTGCAATCCAGCAATTGCACTCCTTGATATTGTCACCAAGAGGTTGCTGCCGCCAACCTAATACCAGTAGGAGTCCCAATCCAGGAGGCAGAAAAAGGAGAAATTTTTTCAGGTGCACAGAATCTACCAAGCTACTAACAAGACAAATGAAAGCAAATCTAGAGAGAGGAGTCACAATGGTGAGGAGGTTGGAGCTATGACACCTGAGGTGATGGAGAGCAGTGCTCAGACTTAAGAGAGAGGGTGTTATATTCAAGGAACTGAGAAGACATCTCTGAAGGCGTAAGATCAGGGCAAAGAGGCTAGAGACTGGACTATGGAAATGGACAGGAACTTGTCCATGTAAGCCTCAAAGGCACCTTAAAGACTCTGGACTTAATTCCAAGTGCAGTGGAATCTGTTGAGGGGTTATGCAGGCATCTGTACCAGCCCCACTTTTGCAGTCCTCCCTTCCGATGCAGAGAGGATGTCTATAGCAGAAAGTGATTCCCATGTTAACATCCAAGTGTAGAAGGGGGGCGATTGCCTCCACTGTTCCAGGCTGGTGGACTCCTAACCTAAGATGATTCCTTTCACAATAGGTGAAACCAATAGTGGCTGCAACAGCAAAATAAAAGTAATGAGAAGAAAACTCAAACTCTGAAGAAGGCAAGGGAGAGAGACAAAGGAGAGAGGTTCAAGATTCTTAACTAGTTTCTTAACAAAACAAATCAACATTTTGAATAGCTCCAGAGTGTCCTAGGATTACAAAAATGAGCAGGGCTGGTGTTTCTCATACCTGCTTTCAAGTCCAAACTCAAATCCAAATATGCTCACAGAAGCTCAGTTTCCTACATCCCCAAAATAATATCCTTCACTCTGGATAGTGCTTGAAACCTTTTCCAAACCATTTTTACATATGCTGTC